GACTTCCAGACTTCCTGTGATTTCGGTAGAAATCCTGTTGTATGACTTTGTAAAAGTTTTGCGGTGGTCTAGTGGTAAGGTATGCGGCTTGACAATGCCGGGGTCGCAGGTTCTCGCCCACCTCACAGATCTAGTGGATTTTCTCATTAACATAACTTATAATATCTATAATTATATACTGTATACTCAAGATTTAGATTTAGAAGCCACATTTATAGCTGGAGTAAACAGGTGTACATCAATCTAAATCAAATTTACATTTGATTTAGAAATATCAAATGTAAATACATTTGTTACAATCAAATGTTTAGATTGTAAACTGAATGTAAACATTCAGTTTACAATCAGTTTATAAACTGATTGTAAACATTCAGTTTACAATCTGCGAGGCGATATATAATGAAAAAAACAAAGTGAGGTTTACCATTAGAGCGGACAGACAGATAGTGGTAAAATATATATCACCCAATTTGGATGATGGGAAGAAAACTTGAAGTAATCTGATTTAATCATAACAATTTTCACGCCTTCAGTTGATCAATCAACCCTTAATCTACCTCAACAAATTCAGTATCAAAATGACTCCAAACACACAGTTCATCCAACGTGGATCTGGCTTCAGTTGGACTCAAAATGGCTGTCAATAAACCATCTCTCTTGTGTCAGTAGTTCCTTCATAATTAGAATAAAAGTAGTTATTATATATGTGATACATATATCCTATATATGTATCACATATTCTTAAGTTGTATTTCCTGAGAATTAAGTTGTTATTTCTGGAAACGTTGGAGCAGCCGGTGACAAGTGACTGCCTGAGAAAAAAAGGAATTGATTAAGGAATTCCTGGATAGGTGATTCCCTTCAGACAAAATGATGTCATTCTTTTGTAACTTGTGTCTTCAAGTGTGGGTGAGGACATCAGGCCTGATATGAGATTGCAATGATTGCAATGATGGACACCCAAGATACGTCTTCACCATTTCCTATTAAGATACATCTTGATACATCCAAGATACATCTTGACCATTGTACACCCAAGATACATCTTGACCATTGTACACCCAAGATACATCTTGACCATTGTACACCCAAGATACATCTTGACCATTGTACACCCAAGATACATCTTGACCATTGTACACCCAAGATACATCTTGACCATTTCACTATTAAGTTTACCAACGTTAACATCTCGTAGGTTTATAATTCACCCCCCCATGCAACCTGAGACATCGTCAAATAACATTACTTTCGACTAGGTATCTAGATGACCAGAGGCACTCGTAATGAAGTCTGTTTTGACTTTCAGGACTCTTGTAGCATCAGAAAAATTATCAAAGTGAGCCCTTTGAGGGAAATAATATGCCCCAGATGCATATTATTGTTGTCCAGGCGGCCTGTTGTATTAGTCCAGGGTATTGTTGTCCAGGCGGCCTGTTGTATTAGTCCAGGGTATTGTTGTCCAGGCGGCCTGTTGTATTAGTCCAGGGTATTGTTGTCCTGGCGGCCTGTTGTATTAGTCCAGGGTATTGTTGTCCAGGCGGCCTGTTGTATTAGTCCAGGGTATTGTTGTCCTGGCGGCCTGTTGTATTAGTCCAGGGTATTGTTGTCCAGGCGGCCTGTTGTATTAGTCCAGGGTATTGTTGTCCTGGCGGCCTGTTGTATTAGTCCAGGGTATTGTTGTCCTGGCGGCCTGTTGTATTAGTCCAGGGTATTGTTGTCCTGGCGGCCTGTTGTATTAGTCCAGGGTATTGTTGTCCAGGCGGCCTGTTGTATTAGTCCAGGGTATTGTTGTCCTGGCGGCCTGTTGTATTAGTCCAGGGTATTGTTGTCCTGGCGGCCTGTTGTATTAGTCCAGGGTATTGTTGTCCTGGCGGCCTGTTGTATTAGTCCAGGGTATTGTTGTCCTGGCGGCCTGTTGTATTAGTCCAGGGTATTGTTGTCCAGGCGGCCTGTTGTATTAGTCCAGGGTATTGTTGTCCTGGCGGCCTGTTGTATTAGTCCAGGGTATTGTTGTCCTGGCGGCCTGTTGTATTAGTCCAGGGTATTGTCGTCCTGGCGGCCTGTTGTATTAGTCCAGGGTATTGTTGTCCTGGCGGCCTGTTGTATTAGTCCAGGGTATTGTTGTCCTGGCGGCCTGTTGTATTAGAATACAGAATATTCAGAATACAGAATACAGATTTCAGAATGCTTTACCCGAATCCCTCTGGCCAGTGATTTTAGTTTGGGATCAATATATAACAAATCCTGTGAGTTGAAGGGAACTGGAGCCTATTTGGATGGATAGGTTAGGCCGTCTGTGGTATATCCTTCATATATTCCTATGAAGGTTTCCATAGCCTCTTGGTGGGTGGGAGTAGAACTAGATCATCAGCATAACAGCAAACATTGGCCTTAGTATTGCCTATCTAACAGTCAGTTCTACTGGACCCTAACTCTTTCAACATATGAAGATACATATAATATGACTAAAAAAATCCACATTGTTTGACTCCTATTTTAGTGTGAAAATTTCACAAGGGACACTAGTCCGTTTCACAGTTTATTTGCAATATCTGATAAGAAATATATGGATATCTAGAGTGATGACTCTAGGGAGCCGGTCGGCCGAGCGGACAGCACGCTGGACTTGTGATCCTGTGGTCCTGGGTTCGATCCCAGGCGCCGGCGAGAAACAATGGGCAGAGTTTCTTTCACCCTATGCCCCTGTTACCTAGCAGTAAAATAGGTACCTGGGTGTTAGTAAGCTGTCACGGGCTGCTTCCTGGGGGTGGAGGCCTGGTCGAGGACCGGGCCGCGGGGACACTAAAAAGCCCCGAAATCATCTCAAGATAACCTCAAGATAGATGACAGGACATACTTTTCTTCTAAGCAGTCCTCTAAAAATATTTGGTGAGTTCAACTTTGCCAAAAGATTAGAAGCATGAGAGAGAGAAGACAGCCACCGTGTGAGTGGTAGTACTGAACAGTTTGCTACACCATCAAATTATAAAGCTTAACAAGACGTTGAGACACAATAACGTGGTTGAAGAATTGATGCCCAATTGATGAAGAAGTATTACACGACTTCATAATGGTCCAAGATGGACCGAAACGTCGTCGGGTCTCCATGTCCAGATATGTGTGGGTTGAGGGTCTTGAAAAAGAATCTAGTTCATCTGCTAGAAAGTCATTGAGAATGTAGTTAAATACTGTGTTTAATAGTGTGTTTAGGGCCATAGCTCTCTAGTTATCAGGAGGATACATAAGCTGGTTAGTTCCTTGTAATGCAAACAAGTACAGAGATGCTCATTACAGACGGTGCTGTACCTTGGGAGAGGAAGCCTGTAGGACACAGATATCCTACAGTATAATTTAGACAGTGTCTAAACTGTGTCTCACACACAAACAGTTTAGGTGTCCCATGTTTAAAGTTTACAATATCCACAAACGGGAGTATCATAACTCCCAGTTTCTGAGCACCTTTCCTGCAACTTATCCAACCATTGCAGGAAATACAGTGTAGAGGTGTTTGAAATTATTTGCAGATTAAATTAAATCAAATCAATTAAATCAAATTAAATCATAATTAAATCATCTTCAATCTCACCTGCCGTATATATAACACTGCTGTAGAACGTTGAATATTCGTCCTTGTAAACAATACCCAAATTACGGAGCAATAGGCCTAATCCGGAGGGGGGGAGTGTAGGCCTCATGTCAAACTACTCATTAAGTATTTTTGATAACTTGTGCTAAATACATTTGATTTATGTATAGGTATACACACACATGTACGTGTAGTGTATATGATGTATTTACAAGTAATACAAGAACTAGAACGATTTATAAAATAAAAAGGTAATAAAAAGAAATTTCATTCGACTAGGCGCACTCAAAAGCATAGGCATAGGCCTATGCTTTTGAGTGCGTCTCAATAGCATAGGCATAGGCCTATGCCAATGCCCCCCCCCCCCCACCTCCTGCTGTCTAGGACAGGGCCCAGAGGAATCAACTTTGATGTTCATTAACCCTTTTTAATTTTTTATTTGTCTAATTTGCGCGAATTTTTTTATTTGTCTAATTTCAGTCTTGTATCTCAGGACCTCTTTCAGTCCTGGTCCTTGGGGGTCCTTGGGGGTCCTTGGGGGTCCTTGGGGGTCCTTAGGGGGTCCTGGGGGGTCCTGGGGGGTCCTGGGGGGTCCTTGGGGGTCCTTGGGGGTCCTGGGGGGTCCTTGGGGGTCCTGGGGGGTCCTTGGGGGTCCTTGGGGGTCCTGGGGGGTCCTGGGGTCCGTGTTCCGGTGTTCCATTTATCTGCTGTGGTTGGGACGGGCCATCATGCTGTTTAGGCAGTATGTAGCAACGATATGCACCATCGTACATATATAGACGAACTGGACAATTGGAAAGTAGAATTTGGTACTATTGAATTTCGACCAACCGGAATAGGTTTGGTATTTATGTCTCCTAATGAAACCTAACATAACCATCTTAGGCCTAATGCACGCTATCTTAGGCCTAATATAGTACAAATATGTGCTATACTAGGCTATACTGTCCAGGCGGCCTGTTGTATTAGTCCAGGGTATTGTTGTCCAGGCGGCCTGTTGTATTAGTCCAGGGTATTGTTGTCCAGGCGGCCTGTTGTATTAGTCCAGGGTATTGTTGTCCAGGCGGCCTGTTGTATTAATTACTAAACAAACAAAACCTAACTTTTCTCAATTAGTGACTGTATTACTAGTCAGGAATGACAGTTCAGTCGCAAGCAATTTTCTCCAACGTGTTTGTAAAGCACTTTATCTAATTTTCATGCTGTTTAAAGACAATTGTGATTGCAATTTTTTTTTCCAATGCTGCTGATCAATTTTCCTCTCCCACGAAGCTGAGTTCAAGTAAAATGTCACTATCAGAGTCTTAATATATCATCGATGTGTAGCCTCTTTTGTTCCGTCTTTGTATCTCAATGTTGCACGAAACATATCTTCTGAAGTCGGATTATAAAATCGTGGAAATTGAGGCAATCACGGCCGTTGGGGGCAGTTGTGGCCTTTGGGGCAGTTGTGGCCTTTGGGGTAGTTGTGGCCTTTGGGGCAGTTGTGGCCTTTGGGGCAGTTGTGGCCTTTGGGGGCAGTTGTGGCCTTTGGGGCAGTTGTGGCCTTTGGGGCAGTTGTGACCGTTGGGGCAGTTGTGGCCGTTGGGGGCAGTTGTGGCCGTTGGGGGCAGTTGTGGCCTTTGCAGCAGTTGTGGCCGTTGTGGCCTTTGGGGCAGTTGTGGCCTTTGGGGCAGTTGTGGCCGTTGGGGCAGTTGTGGCCTTTGGGGCAGTTGTGGCCTTTGGGGCAGTTGTGGCCTTTGGGGCAGTTGTGGCCGTTGGGGCAGTTGTGGCCGTTGGGGGCAGTTGTGGCCTTTGGGGCAGTTGTGGCCGTTGGGGCAGTTGTGGCCTTTGGGGCAGTTGTGGCCGTTGGGGCAGTTGTGGCCGTTGGGGGCAGTTGTGGCCTTTGGGGCAGTTGTGGCCGTTGGGGCAGTTGTGGCCGTTGGGGGCAGTTGTGGCCGTTGGGGCAGTTGTGGCCGTTGGGGGCAGTTGTGGCCGTTGGGGCAGTTGTGGCCTTTGGGGCAGTTGTGGCCGTTGGGGCAGTTGTGGCCGTTGGGGGCAGTTGTGGCCTTTGGGGCAGTTGTGGCCGTTGGGGCAGTTGTGGCCTTTGGGGCAGTTGTGGCCGTTGGGGCAGTTGTGGCCGTTGGGGGCAGTTGTGGCCGTTGGGGCAGTTGTGGCCTTTGGGGCAGTTGTGGCCGTTGGGGCAGTTGTGGCCTTTGGGGCAGTTGTGGCCTTTGGGGCAGTTGTGGCCTTTGGGGCAGTTGTGGCCTTTGGGGTAGTTGTGGCCTTTGGGGCAGTTGCGGCCGTTGAAGCAATTGCGGCCGTTGAAGCAATTGCGGCCGTTGAAGCAATTGCGGCTGTTGAAGCAATTGCGGCCGTTGAAGCAATTGCGGCTGTTGAAGCAATTGCGGCCGTTGAAGCAATTGCGGCCGTTGAAGCAATTGCGGCTGTTGAAGCAATTGCGGCCGTTGAAGCAATTGCGGCCGTTGAAGCAATTGCGGCCGTTGAAGCAATTGCGGCTGTTGAAGCAATCGTGGCCGTTGAAGCAATTCCGGCCGTTGAAGCAATTCCGGCCGTTGAAGAAATTGCGGCCGTTGAAGCAATTCCGGCCGTTGAAGCAATTGCGGCCGTTGAAGCAATTCCGGCCGTTGAAGCAATTGCGGCCGTTGAAGAAATTGCGGCCGTTGAAGCAATCGTGGCCGTTGAAGCAATCGTGGCCGTTGAAGCAATCGTGGCCGTTGGAGTAACTGCGGCTGCTGAAGCAACGGCGGCCATTGAGACAGTCGAAGCTACACCAACGAACTAATGAACACAGATTGTTAGACTCGAACCTGACGCTGGCCGCAAGTTTACTGTGGGAGACAACGCTAGGAACCACCGCACTGACTTGACGGACTGTAGGACCTACGACCTGGATAGGGCATATAACCACTCTTCGCCATCGCTAATCTATAATCAAACCCAACCTAACCTAACCTAACCCAGCCTAGCCTAATCCAACCTAACCTAACCCAGCCTAGCCTAATCCAACCTAACCTAACCCAGCCTAGCCTAATCCAACCTAACCTAACCCAGCCTAGCCTAATCCAACCCAACCTAACCTAACCCAGCCTAACTTAATCTAACCCAACCTAACCTAACCTAACCCAGCCTAGCCTAATCCAACCTAACCTAACCCAGCCTAGCCTAATCCAACCTAACCTAACCTAACCCAGCCTAGCCTAATCCAACCTAACCTAACCTAACCCAGCCTAGCCTAATCCAACCCAACCTAACCTAACCTAACATAGCCTAGCCTAATCCAACCCAACCTAACCTAACCCAGCCTAGCCTAATCCAGCCCAACCTAACCTAACCCAGCCTAGCCTAATTCAACCCACCCTAACCTAACCTAGCCCAGCCTAGTCTAATCCAACCCAACCTAACCTAACCTAGCCCAGCCTAGCCTAATCCAACCTAACCAAACCCAGCCTAGCCTAATCCAACCTAACCTAACATAGCCTAGCCTAATCCAACTCAACCTAACCTAACCTAACCAAGTTTGAAAAATATCAATTGTAACCTAAATTGCCCGAGCCTAATTACTAATTCGGCGGAGGATATTATTGTAATTAATCTCAATTTTTCGCAGAAATTTAAATATTTGGAAGAATATTGGTTCTATGGAAGAGTCTCAAAGCCGAGAAGATGGACGCCATTTTGTCTCACCACTGGCCTGTATGCTAGCTGGTTCGCTCTTCAAGACGCAGGGTTCGATCCCAGAAAGGCTGTAAATTTTTATACCGTCTTGAGATTTCTTTTCTGCCACTGCATGTCTCTATTCACCTAGTAGTAAATAGGTACACTGGGAGTTAGGTAACTGTTGTGGTTTATATCCTGGTCGGGGGGGAGGCTAGTAGTAGGCCTAGGTACCCCTTGATAGGCCTAAAACGTTTCCTGTCCTCGATATTGGATTTTTGTTCATAAATTGCAATGTTGTTGTATTATGATTTTAGTTGCATGAGGCTCACACACAATTAATAATGTTACATATACTCGTACACATATTCATACATACACGTACATACACACACATATACATATATACATACACATAGATATACAATCACCTACACAAATACACACATCAATAATCTTTGTATCACAAGTGATTCAACAAGAGGCTCACAACAGTCACTATACAAGGGCACTTTACATCTATGGTGAGTGACACAGTTACTAGTCTTGCTCCACACCCACCCAACTGGGCGGCAGCTTTACAGTAATGTGCTCCACACCCACCCAACTGGGCGGCAGCTTTACAGTAATGTGCTCCACACCCACCCAGCTGGGCGGCAGCTTTACAGTCATGTGCTCCACACCCACCCAACTGGGCGGCAGCTTTACAGTCATGTGCTCCACACCCACCCAACTGGGCGGCAGCTTTACAGTCATGTGCAGGCTGCACCTACAGTAAGCACATTTTGGATACTTCGCTAAGATTCCTGGCAGCACATCATTTTGAATGAAGTACTTACACATTTCTTGGACACCATTGATGGTGTTATCTCTGCATTCCGCGATTTTTTCACATTCCATTATATAATGACACAAAGTATGCGAATAGTTCTGCTGACAGAGTTTACATTTAATCAAATCTACATCAGCAGATGTTACAAACTCCCAGAGGTACTTGTAGTCGAGCCTAAGGCTAGCAGTGGTAACATCTAGAAGTCCATAGACGTGCGGTTCTTCCTGCATAATAGAATGATGATAGATGGAATAACTGGTGTGAATTTCACTTTGCCTTAAGTCTACGAGATATTGTTGATGTTCCCGGAATATTACTGCCCTCAGGCTGCTCAAAGGCAGTCCAAGATGGTAATCAATTCCCTCTTTATGAGCAAAAGTCTTGGCTAACTCATCATTTCTATCATGCATTCGGAGACCAATATGGGAAGGAATCCACAGGAGACAAACTCTGACTCCATCATTGATGGAGTCAGAGTTAGGTTAGAGTTAGAGTCAAGTTAGGTTAGTCAGAGACAGAGTTAGTTGATGGAGTTATTATTTCATTATATCTGTGTCTAGCTTCATCAAGATCACCTCACTACTACACCTGTTGAGGTGTTTATTCTCCCTATTGTTGCAAATTTTTATGCAACATGTTATTAGGTATATTACTACTTTTCTTTGTATTCTGAAGAAAGTCTGGCTTTTTAATTACTTTTCTAAGTATTCTGCAGCGAATCAAAATGATTTTTATCAATTTTATGACTCGGGTAAAAGTAGCTGATTTCAGTTTGTAAAGTGTTGATGTTTGTTATGTAAAGATGTTTGTCATCTTAGCTTGAGGAAGATACCAGCATCTTTCTCATTACCAGATGAACATCTCACATCATCTTAGCTTGAGGTAGATAACAGCATCTTTCTCAAAATTAGAAGTATATCTCTCATTCAAGGCATCTTACCTAAAGATAAATAAAACCATCTTTCTCACAATCTGATGTACATCTCGCATCTCAGAGCATCTTAGCTTATCAGCATCTTTCTCTCAGCCCAAAAAACATCTCGCATCTTAGAGCATCTTAGCTTACCAAGTTAGAAGTTTCTTATCGTTAAGCACACAGCTTTATAGGATATAAGTGACAATACTTTTTTTAAGTAAACAATTTGTTATTGTATTTGATAATTCTATGTAGTATATACAGTACGAACTAAGGTGCTATTCAAGCTACTCTCTGGTAAAAATGCATAAAGTTTATTGCAAAAAAAGCAATATCAATGAATCATTCAACATCTGGAATTGAAAGCTTGACTTGATTTTTTTAAACAGCTGCATTGGAAAAATTAATAATTTAATAATGGAATTTTAATCCCTTCTCAATATTATGTTTAAACTTAAAAAAAAATATGGGGGATTTCTTGTGAGTTTCTGAATTGTTCAAATTATAACAAATAAATAGTTTTCCCGATAGTTTTTTTATTAATTTTAAGTTATTTATACACGTTAATGCATTGGGCAGCTGTCTCCTTATGGGTGATCTATTTAATGGGAATTTATTGCATAATTCGCCATCAACTCTGTTATATAGTGCTGGAATTTACGATTTTCCAGTATTTACCTCCAGAACACCAAAGACGTAGTCTTAACCTAAATGCTTCTCCAGCAACCAGGCATCAAAGATGTTATCTTAACCTAGATGCTTCTCCAGCATCCAGGCATCAAAGATGTTATCTTATCCTAGATGCTTCTCCAGCATCCAGACTTCTCAGATGACATCTTTACCTGGATACATATACATCATCAAAGTTATATATGCACTCAATGTGTGCTACTCGACATATTCATGAATTTATTTTAACGTTGAACTCTGTAGGAATTAAAAAGAGTGCTTGAAATTTCGAAACTAATTAGATACTGAGTTTGATGGTCCTAGATGGCGCTAGGCTTGAAGTGAGATATTTTTCATAATTGTCAGTCGCTACAATTATTCGGTGTCTAGAAACTATTGAATATCCAGTGACACAGACGGTGCTATGCAGTATTTCGGGCCTAGCGCCTTCTTTTGGTAATTACTTACAGTCCATACCTTGAAGGATAATTCCCGTAATCCCATAGAGCAAGGACATCGTCAGAATTCCCGTCAATGTACCTCTTTTGGACAAACTTACTGACAATCCACCTCTCTACTTGTCTTAGATTATGTATGCTAAAATCTTTCGGTTTACTTGATTGGGGTAAGAATGAAAGGAAACCAGGATTGCTTCATTTACAATATAGTTTTTAAATACTGTGACATGATGAGACGAACGAGAATACAGACTGGCAGGCATCAGTCAGTAGGCTTCTAAGCGTTACAGCTGCTAGCTTTAGGCTCAGATAAAACACCTCTGGGATATAGCCGAGCCTGCTAATGTCGATCTGACCAAATGTACACTTTGTCGACAAAATGTTCCACATATTCTACGTCATTGTGTAATTTAATGTGGGGAAAACAGTAATTAAAGACGTTTTTTTTCACTACTGTTGACAGAATATCCAAGTATTTATCCTGGGAAGATATACTGCCTATAGGCCTATCAATGTATCCCAAATTTGCCTGCTGTAGATATTGCACACAGATTGCAAGCTTGCACTGCCTGCAAGATACTTACTTGCATATCTCATGACTACTGGACCATTAAACACAACTGCTCTTGTAACTTGGTTACAAATTTGGGGCAAATGAAACCTTTTATTTGTAACTTATCAACGCCAAAAGAATTTTGGCAGCGAGGTACATAACAATTTTGTTCAATGAAGTCCAAACCAAAAACTGTTGTATTTCAAAGTTCTTATTATTAAGAGTGACGAGGCTACTTCTCATCCTTGTTCTTCCTGCTATCATGTTCAGGTCTGGAGTTCATCCAGCAGTTAGGCATCTACTTACGAAACTTGTACCAAACAGAAGAGTGATAATTATTAATTAATTATATTATTCTTAAAATTATTATTATTATAATAATAATTCTTGTATTTAATAATTATCACTTCTGCTTGGTCTTGAAGGAGGCCGGCCTCGGGTGAGAGAGGGCTGTGACGATCTCTGTCTGGAACCCGTAGGTGCTGGACCGGGCCGTCCACCTTCCAAGGGTAGTGCGTCCCAGGCTCTGCTTCAGGAGGCTGGGGTCGTTCTTGACCTTGCTGGGGTGGTTCTTCTCCGGCCCCGACCACGGCGGTCTCCGGGTTTGGAGTCCCTGTGCCTTCTTTCACCAACTTCGAGGTCAACTCCGGAGCTCACAGTTCCTGCGACGGTGCTGGAACCAATCGTATTGGCATTTGCCTTTCCATTGGAGACTTTCGGTGCTGTGGAGATGGGGGACCTGCTGCTTGGGTAACAGTTTCTCCATATCAACCTACCCTGGCTTTGCTCCCAGGAGAGGCCACTCCAGCTCGACAACCAGAGCGCAACTCCATAGT